GAGGCGGAGGAGGATTATTAAGATTACATAACAGTGTGATCTAATTGTTAATGATTGACTTTGGGCCAGTCCCTCTCTTTCAATCCAGCCTACCTCTCTTTGGTTTGTGTTTGTAGTGGGGGAAAATTGGATGTGGGAATGCTATGTAGCCACCCTGAGCTCTTGGAGGAAACGCAAGATGTAAATATAAGTAATAAATAAATTACAACATACCATTTTACTGTTACTTTTTTTATGTTTTTCTGTTTTGTCTTTTATTTGGTATTGTAACTAGAAATTGCATGCAGTACTAAATAAATATTTTTTATCCATAGCATACGGTGAGATGTACATTGTGTATTTTTTTCTTCCTAGCATTTTTCCCACAGTTGCAGGGTCTGATTTTTTGGGGGATCAAATTAATGTTGATCCATTGGTTGCAACAGGAATTTACCAACTGGCTTGTCCCCCAAGCCTGACGTTGTGGGCTGACAGAGAGAGACTGGCCCACAGTCACCCAGCCAGCTTTCACGCCTAAGGCACAACTAGAACTTACAGTCTTCTCGTTTCTAGCCTGAAGCCTCAACCATTAGACCACACTGGCTCTCGTGTGTGATATACATTGTGTATATGGACTCTAAAACTTTTACTCTGTTTCTCTCCATAGTATTCTGTTGGTAGATGCTTATTCCATTTTTTTTGTAATTTTTTTTCTGTCTCTCTTCAGAATTCATCTAAAGTTGCTCAGGCACCATCTCCATGGAGTACTAGTGCAAAGTAAGTTCACTGTTTTCTGTCCTAATATGCTACCTGCTTTCCAGACCAAAACATTTCAGGTGGGGGCACCTTGTTGAGGAAGCTAGTGCTAGGCGATCATTCAGCCATTAATTCTCAACAGCAGTTCCACCACTGGGCACTTTGGGATAATGATTTATTGTTGCTGTTAATCTTTGCTTATGGTAACTCCTTGATAATGAAAAAAGAGGCGTATAATGTTGCAGCTTACTGTATTTTGCTAAAAAAATTAATCAAAGGTAAACTGAATGAAATGTTAAGATCACTTCACACATTTCTTAGCAAGAAGCCTGAGTCTGCTAAGGAAGGCTTCTTCAACCTGGTACCCTCCAGTTGCATTGGGCTACAACTCCCATCATCCCCAGACAGTCCCTACAGGCTAGAACGTATAAAGGGCATGAGCCAATTCTCTTTCTTGAAAAAATACTTATATGGTACACATGGGGTTTGAATCCATCATATTCATATTTTATATACTGTATGTAATAAATTAAAGTGTGGATTTAATGTACCACTGTCTAAAAATGTACACATGCAAAATAACATGTTAAAAGGCTGATGTCTGTAGCATGGAAGCTGTCTTTCTGGAACTCTTGATTTGTGGGCAGGCACTCTTTTGTCCGTTCTGCTTTATATTCTGAAACAACATTAACTACATTTGGAGTTGTGAAAATGTACAGGGCGAGAGCCAAATTTATTATAAAGCAGGACATAGGGTAGAGATGTATGAAATCCTAAGCTGGATGGACTCTTAAAATAATTTATTTTTACTGCTATAATGTACATTGGTAATATTGTTGAATCAACTGTTCCAGGTGTACAGGAACTCCTTCTCCCATATCTCCTAGCCTGTCTCCGCTGAGCTCAGCTGGGAGCACTGGAGCTCCTTCTCCTTCCTCCATAATCAGCATTCCTCAGCGAATACATCAGATGGCAGCCAATCATGTTAGTATCACCAACAGCATCTTACACAGTTATGACTACTGGGAGATGGCTGACAATCTTGCCAAGGAAAACCAAGGTGTGTGATAAGAAATAGTTTGTTGAAACAGTAATCTATCATTTTGACCAGAGCTTAAGTCTGGATCTCTGGGATCCCACCTTTACTGATAAATCAGGCTTGGGCCCCCACCTAATCCTGATATGGCTTCTTACCTTGGATGTTCCTCCTAAAACTTTAGAGCTAACCCCTAGTATTGCAGCATAAACAAGAATGGAATCTTTTTGCAGCACAAATCTTAAAATACCTGGAACTACAGCAGAAGTGGGCAGTCCATGAGTTACATTTTGGTTTCAGTGCATGGACACTGCCTGGCATCTTCTGTATCTTGGATCGAGTGAGAGAACATTAGTACTTTCTCTCCCATATGCTTCCAGAAACCTAAACTAGTACTATAGTACTGCAGTGTCCCTGAGGAAGAAGGTCTAGCATTTGCACAGACCGGCCCCCTATCTCACATCCTGTCTGCACTGTTGATACTGGCTGGAGCTTGGCGTGCTGGTGTACGGAAGCAAAACCCACAATGGGACACGGATGGGCAAGAAAGAGGGACCAAAGTGAGATGGCAGAGAAACGTTGCCCATTCTCGGATTATAGTTAAGCAAAACTATGATAACAGCTTTGCTATTTCTCAGTAAAAGTGTTCAGTGTGTGCCTTGGAAGCCTTGATTAAACCTTTGGATATCAGTTAACCTTTGTTTACTTTTATAAAATACTATCTGCCTGGATTTCCAAATCAATTAAATGCCTGTTGCATAGCAAGGATTAATGATTCTCATTTATTTTATTGTCTTGTTCCTTAGATTTCTTTAATGATTTGGATGCACTGATGGGAGCTATCACCTTGCACAGCTCTATGGAGCATCTGGTTCAATACACACAGCAAGGCCTTGACTGGATAAGATGTAATGCTCACTTATCCCCATGACAGTTCTCATCGCCTGGACACTAAACTCACCATACGGACAATTCAGTTATTCTAGACACTGTGCTACAGAAATACTCAACTGCAGCATTGCTTCAAACACAATGTGAATATTTTGTTAACATTGAACAATATTGTTTCAGAAAGCAAAAATAGGTGTGTGTATATTATGCAAACTTGTCTTTTCCAGGCCATTGTGCTTTTAATTGTCTCCAGATATCACTTCCTTAGGAAGAAAATTAAACATAGCTACGTTAGAACAAACACTCTCACATACAGATACACATTCCCCCAATATTTAGAAAGCCAAACCTTAATTTTATGATTTGATTTATTCAAATGAAATGTAGTACCTGTTACTAGTAATCTCATAGAGCAATTTTTCCTCTGTATTTATAAATCTCTGTGTCACTTTTCTAAAGAGAGGCTTAATGAATGAACAAGGACAGCCTCAGTGACAAATTCTGTGTAACATAAAAGGTATTTATTCTGTATTTTACATTTTAAAAGGAATTGGTGGCCATTGACTTTGCCAGGCAATACTTTGGATGCCAGTTTGCTCGCAGACTGACTCACCTTCTTCCCACCATTTACTTAAGTACCCAAGCTTTAAAGTGGGAGCACCTAGCAGTAAAATCTTATTCCCAGTTTTGGAGCTCCAGCATAATTTTGCATTCAAATACGCATTTTTTTACAAATTTGCTTGACATACGCTATACAGAAACATGATCCAACGTTGAAATGCTAAATATGTCTGTTACTTACAACTCATAAACATTTAGCTTTGAGAGTGAAATAGTGTGTGAAGCATTGATCCTCCTTAGATTAAAATTGGGAGCCCCATCAAGCTGTAAATTGCCCCCTGTCCATCCTTGTGAGTTCCTCATAATGGAGTTAAATGCAGACAGAAGGACTGTGATCTTTTGTGCTCTTAAACAGCAGCATAACATGCAATATTCAGTATTTATTCTTGAAATCTTGTTTTTTATAAAGCCAAATTTATACTTTTGCAAATAGTTTATTAAGCAAAAAATGTATTTTTAAAGAGTAGAGAGGGGTGGAATGATCATGTAGAACAGAAAAAAGCTTTGTGAAAGTGTTAATTTTTATGCAGAGCAGCATTTCAAAACAAACTGCAGCTGATTCCACCCAATTCTAGAGCAAAGGTGCATGTGTGTATGGCACAAACATTTTAATACACATTTTAGAAAAATAGCTTAATACACATTTTAGAAAAATAGCTTATTTGTAAGATTTTTCTCTTTTACTGTATCTAGCAATTACATTCAGTTCTTCTATTTTTCCAGAAAACTACTTTACTATCATGCTCTTCTTCCATAACTTTGATATATTATTGTTTTCTAAAAATAAAAGCAACTGATAGTCTTGTGGATTTAACATAGTTATTCAGGCAAAAGCTTTTATGAATTGGAATCTATTTTGTAAAATGAATGAAGATACCTAAAAAGTGTGTTACACATGCAAGCATGTGTACATACATATATACATATTCAACTCAAATTAATATAGAATCTTTAATCACTTAATTTTTGCTTTTGAGCAATCTAATTTTTCTCTGGAATATTTGGTTTTATTCTCAGCTTTAGATGCTCAAGTGGGGCTGGGCGGGGCAAAAATAGCAGGAGCAAAATAGCAATCATTCCAACTTAAGGTGATGGCTTTTATCTCAGGGCAGATGTGACATGATCTGAGGGTAGGGGACATTAACATCTGTCCTTTGTCACGGTCAGAGCACTATCTGTTTACTTTGGAGCTTTCTGGTCTTCTCTTCCATGCATCAAGGAGGGCTCTATCAGACTGGTTCATCTGAGGCACCCGATGGATCCACTTGGTTTCCAGAAAGTGCTTGGAGAATTTTCTGAATCTCTGGTGGACAGTTCATCCAAGGCCTTGGTCCCTTCCTGGAATGAGGGAGCTCCTTGGTTTTCTGAGATGCTCCAGAAAATGGAGCATCAAAAAAGACACCTAGAGCGCCACTGGAGAAAGACAAAGAATGAATCCAATCAAACACTTAGATTGTGGCAATAAGGGTGGCAAAATGTAATTATTTCTTCTGTCCTTACGGCATCTGCAGAATGTGGCCCAGCAGCCCTTTGGAGAACAATTATAGGATTTCTATAAATTGAAAGAAAAGCATTCTGAAGGTGTCTACTTCTGGGACTGTCTTTCTCAGTTTGTTTATGCTCACCCAGTAAGATCTGATAGAGTTGGCACACTCTAGGTTGCAGCTGTAAAGTATCATCACCTTGCAGTAGGTGTGACTTCTGTATAGCTATGCCAGTCCTGTAAAATGGCATCCCCATTGAGGTTTGAATGGATTTGACCCTATTGGGTTTCTGTAAGCTGTGAAAATTTGGCTTTTCAGAATGCAGTGATTTATTCACTAGTCTAATGGTTTAATCCTTTAGAGTTGGTTATCTTCCCTGACATATGATTAGGTAGCATTATTATCTGTTTGGTTACTTCTATTGTTTTTTTATGATTGTTTCAACCTTAGTATGTAAAGCCATCTTCAGTGATTGAGGTGATCAAGGGTACATATTTCAGGATCCTCTGTTAAATATTTAAAAGAGACTCATAGCAGATTCCTATGCTGGGTTCCTAAAATGCCAAGTTGTGGAACATTGGACTAGTTTAAATACTGATTATTGAAAACTAAAGAAAGAATTACCATTAATTTGCATATGTAGTTAAGTACGAAATATTTTAGATTATAGGTAAGTTATGTCAAAAAAGGTTAAACCCAAAGCCCAATAATATATTTAGGCAAATAAAAGAAGGTTTTAAAATTATAGAAAAATTCTTAATTACTGCACATTATTAGCCTGCTCTTGGCTTAGGAACAAATAGAAGGGAAGAAGTAGACATGCAAATAAGAAAAAAAAATAGTGGATGGAGCTGCTTCCTCCATAGAATCATTAATAACAAGTACCTTGGGGAAAAGAAAGGATCTTAGAGAGCATCCAGTCCAATCCTCCATCCAGTGTAGGAATACATTACTATAGCATCCCCAACAGATGTTCTTCCAAGTTCCATGTAAACATTGCCAGCACCTCCATCCACCACCTCTGAAGCAGTCTATTCCACTGTTGAAGAGTTCTTGCTGCTAAGACATATTTCCTGATGCCAGTCAATATTTACTTCCTTGTAATTAAACCCGTGTATTTATTTTTTTAAATCTTCAAGACTTCAGTCTAGAACAGCATATTGAAATAATAATAATAATAATAATAATAAAAATTATGGTATTACAATTTCATATGTACAAGAAACCAATAATATAATAACCTATATAAATAATGCCTAAGTAAAAATGATGAACAATAATTTTCTAAAGGCCTTCCAAAAGAGTTTGATCTTTAAAAAAATTCCAGAAGACCATCACAGAAGAGACTAAGCTAATTTCTGAAGGAGACTGATCTGTAATACAGGTGCCATGATAGAGAAGCAACACTTTCTGGCCTCAGCCCCCATCGCCTCAAGGAAGTAAGGTATCATGAGTAAAGAATCCTAGGATGACCCGCTAAGACAAACCAAATCAAATTTAGTTTAGTTTATTTAAAAATACAGTCACAGACCAAACGCAAAAAAAAAATTAAAAGAAAAGAAATATATAGCACAGATGTTCATTAAAAGCCAATTGGTGCCTCAACTAAACACACCTGGAAGAACAATCAAGTCCAGAAATGTCTAATTGTTATTATGATAGTACAAAATTTGGCTGCAATTCCAGAGACTCCCAGTCAGGTTGCTTGGTTGGTAGTGCACGATTACCATGTGAGAATGATCTGGATAGTTTGTAATGAGAAAGGAGACGAACGCTAACTCCAAGGTTGGTATGTGCACTACTGTTTCAATAGCAGAGTCTGGGCAGATACATAAATGCTCTTGATAAGGAATACTGTTGAAGCTACCTGACAGTACCATTGAGGGAGAGCATCCAGACCTGCCCTCCTATGGGCTGAGACTAGTCAATTATATTTGTATTCTCCTGCAAAATATCCACCATTCAAGAACTTTGATCAGATTCCTGTTGTAACTTTACATTGCTACTCTGTGATCTTAGTCCATTTTTAGCACACTCTCTTAATTCAGAAACCAGTGATGGTTCTCTTGGTGCCAGCATTGCTATGAAAAACAGGAAAAGCAATAGGGTGTCAATCTTCTCATAAGGCTTTGTGCCACTCTGCTCACATCCAAGCAGCTTACATACAGTCCTTCTGTATGGCATTACAGTGGCATGTTTTTATTGTTTACATTAAGTGAGCAGTGTAATAAACTAAAATACATTGTACAGTCATTTATGCTGTAAACTATACGTGTGTATGTATGTATGTTGAAATCATTTTCCTCTCAATCTGCAAAGGTGCTCCAGAAAGTAACAGCAATATTTAATGTATGACATGGACAGCTGTTTTGCTTTATTTTCCAAATTTCTTTAAACTTGTGAAGCTAATTCTGGGTACTTGAAGTTAATTTGAAGCTATGTATACTGCATTTTAATCATTTTATAAATAATTAAGTATTTATACCCAAATTAGAGTAGCAATGTCAATATTCATCCAAAGACTACATTGTTAATTATGAAGGAAGATAATGCTAATTCACTGTGGTAGCATAAACTCAAAAAAGTGTACATTAGGACTTTGTTCAGACAAGTAAATTGATTCGTGTTAACCACAGTTCATTTTTTTTTATCATTTAGCGTGTTATGTGAATTCAGCCTATTTGGTTAGTTTATGGCTCAGTGTGCTGTATGAACCGGGAAATGGGTTCATTTAATAACCAGCTTAAGTGTGTTGTGTGATCACAGCTGATGCATTTACAACAAGTCCTTTTCAGTGTTTTCCCAAGCAATATAACCAAGGCTGCAATAATATCTGCACTGCTATCAGTGAGTGCTTCTTTATTGATCTGAATGAAACCAATCTTTTATCATAATGGGTCATTTCACATATTACTTGTACTGGTATATTCACTTTCCTTTGAACTATGTTGGTGTGGAAAGGTTCTAGTTTCTTGAGAGTTCTGCCTGAGCCAACCATATTTCTGATTGAGCAAATAGTTTATACACAGATATTGGAACTTGGTGATCTCCCCAAACTGGATGAAAACTATAAAATGTTCACATCTTTTCTGTATTTTTCTGCTTTCTGTATCAAACTGGCTTCATTGCTTAACTGTTATAATCAATGTACTGGATCTTATTTCACAATGAGAAGAACAATGTGAGAGGTTTGTTTAAATCGGTTACATGGCTAAAGTTCATGTACATTGCAGTGATGAAATTATTGACAAATTGTTTTGATGCTTGTAACTTTTGCTCTTTCTGCCATTCATTCAAAATTCATGTAGCACAGTTGCTGGAATAGTGAAAAATCCTACTGTAATGTAACAGTATGAGCCTTAAGGATTTGTGTGTGTATGTTTTTTTTTTTAAGAAAAAGCACTTTTATATTTAAAAGTTAATATTAAGTCATCAATAAGATTACTTTTTTAATGTGAAAATAAACCATTAATTCAACACATGTGACATCTCAATATTGTTTCCTCTGTTTCATTTTTGAAAGCATCTTTTGAAATTCACTGCATAGGCTTGCTTCACTTCCATGACACTCCTGGCCTTGTTTTTCTCAGCCCACATCTGTGTCAGTGGGCCTATGAAGTAGCCAAGTCTTTGAGAGGATATGGTGCCTCAGTGCTTCAACCAGCAGATTTGGAGGGGCACTTCAGTCACTTCACACAACATCTTGCAGAATAGTTCACACTACTCTATCAGAAATGGTTTTGAACTTTATCAATTACCTGGAAGATTTTACACAGACTGAAAGATATTGCATGAATCCCAGATTTACATTGAAAAAGAAGGCATAACTTTAAGGTACTAATTTGTCAGGGCAGCACATCTGCAGGGGTCAAAAAAGTCAAGATGGTGGGTAAAACCACACAATCAAAGTCTTATCCCTTTTAATATGCATCACACATACATAAAAAAATAGTTTAGGCTTTGATCATGCGGTTTTTCCTGCCAACTTGAGATTTATTACGCCCCACCCCATCCCAGATGCCCCTGTATCCTATCTAACTAAGTAGAGTCACTGTCAAAGCTATTCATGTTCCAGAATTACCAGAAATGCTAAGTTGTTTCCTGATGCTATAAGGCTATTATTATTATTATTAAAGGTGCAACCAGACAGTTCCAGAACAAGCATGCAGTATAACTTTCATTTAATGCTCAAGCTGTGCTGTTAAAAGTGGCTGATTAGCAGTGTTAAAGTGAGTTCCAAGCAGTGGTCAAGTGTCAAATTTCTTCCTATTCCTCTGTAGATGATATTCCTCAAAGACTTCACTGATGCTCTCCAGAGAATGCTTGCTAACCCAAGATCAAGTAAAGGGACAAAGCTCAATGATAGAGTCTTGGCTATGTGTGCTGAAGCTCCCGAATTAATTACTTATCTTCCCCTTCTCAGGAAGAACAGAGAAAAACTCCACTCTGAAACCTTTGAGAGCATCTGCCCAGGATTTTAGGTGATGCTAAGGTAGACGGGCTGTGGTCTACCATGGCCGCATCTCATCTTCCTACTCTAGATTATGGGATTCTTTGCCAAAGCATGTGCCAAATTTATGCAGAAGGAAAAAATTCTAATCACACATAGAAGAAAAGCAGACAGGGTGTTGTTTTTAATGTCCGTGCGTCAAACTTTAATTGGCCAGTATTTTTCCTTCATTCTCCCCATAATTAGCAGAAGGCATTATTTTAGCAAGCCACTATATACCTATTTCTAGGGTGTGTCAAACTCCATGAATCTTTGACTTGACACAATATTAGTAATAAGTACTTTTGGGTTTTGTGTTATTCTGGCATATGCTTTCATTTTTGTAACTAATAATAATGGGATTTACATAACTGTCTTGAAGTACTTAACGTGCTTTACATTAATGTGCTTTTGTGCAGTACTGCTTGACAGAGCAGTATTATTATCTTCACATTGGCCACAGGATCAGCACAGATCATGGAATATGTGAGCAAGAGGCTCGTTTAATGCTGTACCCGTTGGACACTTTATATTCATATCTTTCCATTCAACGTTTCCTTGGAACTGGGTGGGTATGCATATGGCTGCTTCCTACATTACACTTAGGCATGATGTGTGTGCCTTTAGCTTATCACGTTGTCTAAACCCAGGCATTATTTATGTATAAATTATGCTAATGGTTAGGATTGGGGTGTGAGGTATATAGCATGTAAATTGTAGCTTAGTCTATAGACATAGGGGTGGGAGAGCAAGGAGGGACAGGTGGTCCTGCAGATTTCAGTGCAAGTCCCACCCCTTTTTTTCCTACATGCATATCAGGCACACACCCAAAAGGGGCGGAGCTTGCACCATCTGTTTGCAAGAGTGCTTTCATCAGCAAGATCCTGCAAACACAGCTGTTAACAGGCCATGGATGCATAAACCATACTTTAGGACAAGTGCGGGGGGCAGCGAAAAATGTGTGCAGAGATGCTGGAGGGATATTTTTAAAGTGTTAAACAGTATCCAGGAAGGATTTGACAAGCCATTAAAATGTCTGATTTTTAGGAAAAGAGAAATAGTAAAATTTTAAATAAGATATTTCCACTTTTCCCTTCTACAGCCACTTGGATGTGAATGAAAGGTTGCTGTGTCAGAGCAATTGAAGAAGGCACAAGCTGAAATGTTTTGCTTTATAATTAAAATTTTGCTTTATAATTTACTGTAAATATGACATTTATCAAGTGCTTACAGTCTTTGAATTCTTTGAATTCTATAGTCTTTGAATATACTTGAATTAAGTATAGTTGCCAAACCTTACTATCTTTATATCTTGTTTTACTATGATATTCTTGCTTTTCTTTCAGCTAGATTTCATTCAACTTTAATCCAATATATAGCACTGAACTTTTTGTTGTTGTTGTTGTTGTTGTTTATATGCTGGTCTTGAAATGCCCATCGTTAGATGCAACATGCGTCAGTCAAAGTTGTAGTCCTATTTTAATACTGCTGCACATCTGGGCTGCAGAAGTAGGGATGACCACAAAATAACAGTCCAAAAAAAAAAAATGCTTTGCTGTCAATCCATTGATCATCTGACTTTTTGTAGCCCAGATCTGCTAGCCCTAATTGTAATGTATGGAATATGAACTCTTTTCTATGTTCAG